TTGCAGCCCATTTTTAAAGATGCACTATATTATTATTTTTTAAATTTTTAAAATGTGACATTTTTCAGAATAGTATAAAGAACAGAATCTTGATTGTCATTGTACAACGAAATTAAAAAGTGCCAAACCAACAGTGCAACATTCATGTCAAAATAAAACAAAGACTATAAAAACTGTAAAAGAGTAATTAAAAATAAATATATATATATATCTAAATGAACAAGTAATTACTTCCGTTTACTTCCGTAAACACTGAGCACGCTTGCTGTATGTGACGTCGTTGTGTCCTCTTCTGCGCATGCAGGACACTTCTGCATCGTATGAAGTTCACACAGCAGATCACATACAAATCAAATTTAATTGGAAATGTGAACGAATTTGCAAAAAAATCTGATTTCACATAAAAAACGAATTGAGCATTAAGTCCTGCAGTCTGAACGTAGCCAATCTGTCAGATTGTTAATACAGTGATTAGTACGCCGTTATCCTTATTTGTGACATAAAATGTCTTGTCGGAGTCTGAATCCAAGGCTGTCGGTGTGTTAATGCTATTTTTAATAGGTTCCGTTCATTTTTGCTAAAAACCTGTCGGATAGCAAGGTTTTCAGATTGTTAAGGGTCGGATTATTGAGTCCTGACTGTACTGCACACGTTGTATACAACATTGATTGGAAAAACACTGAAAACAAACAAAACTTGGCCTTCCATAGTACTGTGTGACGTGTCGAACAAAACAACAGCTTCCACTGTGAAGGGCTAAAGAGCTGAAACAATTCTTCAGAAGGCTCAGAACAAGTGGCTCAGTGAGAGTGTGATGGGTTCAATTCACCATCGATGTACTAAAGGTATCGACAGACCAGATGTTTGCGGTGCTGGCATCACATCTGCCCAGCGCAGTCATGGAAGTCTCTGATTCGGAACAACTTCTGCGACAGCGAGGTCACCCAACTAGAAAAGGATGTTTTAGCAATGACACCGGCTCATCAGAAACAACACATTCATAGATACAGAGGTGGAACAACTCAGGCTGAAGGTATCAGTTATCAGTATCAAAAGCACTACCGTCTAACATGACCATCCAAGTAGGTAGACACTGGCATGGCCAAAAAGAGACCGGCTCGTCACCATCTTAACAGCTGATAAAGAAAGATGCACACTAAGGCAAGAGAATTAAAAAGGCCAAGGAGAACAGTCTTCTTAGCAAAAACTATGTGACAATGAGGCAAGATCCTACCAGCAGACACACAAAGGAGACAATAAACTTCCTGCAACAACTGAAAGAAGACAAAACCAATGACCGACCACTATGTTCCAGTTTGTAGCCCACCTCTTACATTTGTGGACTCGTTAAAATACACCACTCGCCACTCAGACCAATCATCCAAAGCATCAGCTTGGTCACCTACAACACTGCTGAGCACACTGAAGATAACAGAAGCCTCGTCATCGAAGTATACAGAAAACCCACACAAAAATCAATATTTACTATTTGATTCTCACCACCCACTGAAGCACGAGCAGACGGGATGGCTGGGGGAGTCAGTGAGTCACAAAGAGAGTCCAAGGAGCCAAGCTGCTAAAAACCCCCACAACAGCCTAAATACCCGGGACTCCCCGCCAGGCCGTTAGAAACCAGGAGGCTAAATGGATGAGACACCTAAAAGAAGCCATCGTCTTGTTTAAGCACTTAGACATACGACCTCTATGACTGAGAATCTTGAAAAGCATCCAAGCTACTTTTAAAAAAACATTTGGCAGAGCTTTTTCCTGGTTCATCTTGTTTTTTACAACTGAATTCTTTTGATAATTTGGTAAGTTTATTTCATCAGTCTGTCATTTTTTAATAGGAAGAAAGTTTGAAGGTTTTTTTCCATCTCAGCTGCCCATTGACTTTAAAATTACTGCCACCATTTGCTATAATTAGCATCAAATTACAGATTTATTTCTTGCAAAGTTTTTAGAAAATGATTCAAACATTACAGATCACTACAATAAACACACTGAGGCAGACAGCAAGGCACTAACACTACAGCTTGTTGAGTTTTCCGTACCTGGCAACTGTCTGTTCCTCCCTCGATGTTTCCAGCACACATCTCGTGGTCTTTGACTCTGCCGTTCAGGTAGGAGGGACGGTTACAGATCTTGTTCTCGATCACAGGGAAACCAGTTTCCTTCAGGATGCCTTCACCTCCCGTTCCTGCAACAGATACCTGCAGTTATTCTCCTCGTCCTCGCAGGACTTTGATGTGAGTTGTAGTAAAGTTTGGGGTTTCTTTGGAGGACAGATGTATTACCAGATTTTTTTAAATTAACACTCAGTATATTGGATTTAGTGTGCTGGCTGAAAAAGATGAAAACATTTCTGATATTTAGCTTAATTAATAGCTGTTTCCCCGCTCTCAAACTGGTCCCCACAAATGGACAGGAGCCCACATGTACAGGTGACCTACCTTGAGTCTCGCCCCATCCAGTAACGTAGCACTCAGTCCCACTGGGAACAATAAAGTCCTTATCTGGCAGACAAGCTGGCAGCACTTTGTCGTTTATGAGCGCAGGTCTAAAAACACACATGAAGCAAACACACATACAAACATCAGTGTCGGGAATATTAGAGGGGATCCAACTAAAGATGATCTCACTAATACTGACTAATAATTTAGTCTAATGACCATTACATTATTTTATATAAACCAACAAAAATACTTGAAGTATTTTCAGGAAGACTGAGATTATTTAGGGGCTGCAAGGTGACTCGGTGGTTCGCACCATTGCCTCGCAGCTAGAAGGTTCGCGTCCCAGTGAGGACACCCGGGATCTTTCTGTGTTGAGTTTGCATGTTCTCCCCGTGCAGTGTGGGTTCTCTCTGGGTTCTCTGACTTCCTCCCACACAGTCCAAAAACATGTTGAGGTTAATTGGTGATTCTAAATTGTCTGTAGGTGTGAATGTGAGTGTGCTTGGTTGTCTGTCTCTAAGTGTAGCCCTGTGATAGACTGGTGACCTGTCCAGGGTGTCCCCTGAGTCAGCTGGGATAGACTCCAGCCCCCCGTGACCCTAGTGAGGACTAAGCGGTGTATAGATAATGGATGGATGGATGAGATTATTTATGAAATGGTCCTAGGACACTCAACTAGATTGAGTTCTTCTTTTGTTTTTAAACACTGTTGTATCATGAAGCTGTATTAGTGTGGCCATACCCTTTGGAAAGACAAGGGTCTGTTGCTGCATGTTCCAGGTTGCAGTACTTGTCATTTTGAATACACATCAATGACAATACATTAGCTACAGCACTAAAGTTGCTGCCAGTAGATCTTTAAGTTTCAGAGACTCAGTGTTCTCGTTGCAGATTCTTAAATTTTTCACCGCATCGTGGATATCTGCACAGAGCTGCCAATTTCTGATGTCTTTGGTCGAGGTTGGAGGATAATTACACCTGCACTGACCTTTCTAGTTTGAGCAAAGCGATGTCAGCTCCGTTGGGTCCCAGCACCAGCTTCTCCAGGTTCCTCTCTTGTTTTGACGGCTCACTGGCTCTCTCTGTGTGGACACCCAGGAGCACCTTATAGGCTGCAGGCCGCTTGGACCTACATCACACAACATGCACACCAGTTATCCAGGGTTTGTGTTATTCAGGATTTGGTCTTTAGATGCTGTTAATGGTCGCTGTGCGCTGACCTCTCCAGGCAGTGTGCAGCAGTAACGACCCACTGAGGGTGAATCAGAGTTCCTCCACAGAAATGGACTCCTGTACTGGTACGCAGAGAGACGACAAAGTGTTTTTAAGATGAATAAACAAACCCTCGAGTTGAAGGTTTGAGTGTCAGACATTTGTTTCATTGAGATGCAGCATCTTGTTTTCAAGAAGGATGCAAAGCGCTGATATCAAAGACAACAAAGGCAAAAAGGGAAATGAACAAATGATAAAAATATATAAACATACTATTGCACATCAGCCACTGCTACTCTATTTACACAACTACAGTTATAACATGGTATATTTAGCACACTAGCTCAACCTTATTTAGTCTTCATGTTGATAATGATAATAACAATCACTTTATTTTCATTTCTTCAGTGTCTTAATAGCACAGTTTCATTATCACTGTGAAGATACTGGCTATTGTTTGCTTCAGGAAAATCACAACCCTCAAGAGAATATCATGTAAAGCTTTGCATGGTATTTTACAAAGGCGTAAGTCTCCTTTATCATTCACTCACTTGGTCCGAAGGCTGATCTGCCAAGGCCATGAGTGAGGCTTAGACACACAGCCACCAACAATACGACCAAAACATCGCTTCGGTTTAGTAACTGGACTCCCACAGTTCAGTCCAGCTACAGAGAAAGTTCACAGTTCGGAAGAGAAGGAAAAAAAAACACAACTTTGGTATCAGTTGACAAAAACAGTTTACAGCCTTTGAAAGCAGTCTCATTAAAAAAGCTGAACTGTTGGCTGTTCAAAAAGTAAATTCTGTCATTAGACTGTTTTGTTGTCTTCTTATTAGTGAGGAAGAAATTATAAAGTCCCAATGACACCAGAGAGGCCATGTTAAATGAAAACAGTTTAGCATACATCTCATTTATCCATCATCTACTCTCTCTTGGTCCCATTTTTTTCTCTTTCAATTATTTGATCAGTCATTCAGTCTATAAAGTGTTAAGGGACAGAAAAAAATGGAATACATTTACCACTCAGGCCCAAAAGACCACCATTATAAAAGACATCTGCAGAAATGAGGACAGGATGTCTAACAGCAATTAAGGCCGGGCTTTATTCATTGTATTATGCTAAATATTAATCCGTCAAAGTTTTATGATTGTTAAACTTTTCCAGAGCTGTGACGTCATCCCAGTGTACAGACTGGAACAGAGCGGTGTGGCCAACAGGGGAAACACTGAAGCACTAGAAAAGTGTTTTGACTTGTGTGCCAGGTGAGCAATACTTATTCAAGCGGGTGCTGTCTTTGATTTGAATTTCCATTTCAGAGCAGAGTGCTGCAGATGAATGCAAAGACCAACCTTTTGTTGAGACTGGTGTGTGATAACCCTCAATCCCTACAGTAGTTTGGATTAGCTTTTTTTCTGCGTCTAGTTAATCTAAATAAAGTGAAACCCACCACGCAGCCGAGTGAAGGAGTGGCGTTACAGTGCAAAGTAAGGGCTCAATAAGATGTGCATCCTTTTTTTTTTTGTTCCTGATTGGCGACCAAGACATTTAACACATGTGATGACCTGAAATCCCTTCAACCAAACAAGAGATGATGTGAAAGGTAGAGCCAACAGCTCAGAAAAACAGCAAACAGCCACATTTGAGAACACATTAGGTGGCATTTTTTATGGCATTTTTTTCTACTACAATGGTCAAAACGCTATAAAAATAGTGACTAAGTTTTGGTTGCTAAGCTAACCAATTATACGCCAAACTGTTTCAGTGCTATCATCAGAAATATGATCCATTATGAAGTTTGAACTGCACAACAATTAAATGATCAAATGCTCAAAGTTAGTAAAGATTATTTTTATATAAAAAGTTTGCTTTTAAAAATGTACGTTTTTTCACTTTGTGTCAAAATTATCAAGATAGCTGGAGATACATTCAACTGCATCTTTTAATTCACTATAAATTACCTTCATATAGAAGATATTGCACATTTCAATAGCATGTGTATTGAAAGACATGATTGAAAATCTTAATATATTTTGTAAGTTGCAAAAACGTTCAATGACAACTGCAACATCTGATCTTGCAGACTGGCTGGCTTATGTGGGTAGGTTGATTATTAAGCATCATAATTAACTGTAATGTCCTCCCAACACGCTCACACACCACAGTCAGGGATCTGGCAGTAGTCCCATTTCTTGTTCCTGTCCGTAGTGTAGCACCACGGTCCATTCACATCGCTGTCTGGGTTTCTGCAGCTCTAACAGTTACAGACAAAGACAGAATCACTCAACTAGAAGAGGAAAACTCTTACCAAAAATGGCTCATGTAGGAAGACAAACACTCACATTGCCCTCCAGACCCTTGGTGGGGTGAGTCTGTGGGGTGAAGCTGTTGTGTTGGTGAGGGCTCTGAGCACTCCACGCCTGGCAAGTCACTCCCAGTATTGTGATAGAAGTTGGACCGCGGTATGTGTCTCCGTTTCCAATTTTACAGTCTGAAGCAGCGGAAGAAGGAGGAGAATGAGGGATAAATCACACAATATGACAAACGCACGTTTAAAAAGTTGCTCTACCTCTCTCTGCTGGTGTCTGGGTGGGTCTGGCTGGTCTAGGAGTGGTGCGTGGTGCTCCTGAAGTGCATTTCTCCAAGTTGCAGTACTCCCAGCGGACTCTGGGGTCTGTAGTGTAACACCAGGGAGCTCGATCTCCGTCGGGGTTCCTGCACAGATTCCTCCTGAGGTCGCTGTTGAAAAAGAAGATTTTTTATGACAGCGGGTACACGTTTACTCCTGGGATCAAATCAAGAGAGCAACTACTGATCTATGTTGACTTGTTTCTGTTACATCAAGTAAGAAAACACCTCATTGGCACTCTTGATCTTTGCATGGTTAAACATGGTCAGAGTGCTGAAAAGCCAAACATAAAGGCTTAAAGAAAAACTCAGCATTGGGAGAGACAGCGATCAGTTTTGCTGATAGCAGGAAGATAAACCTTATGTTGCTCAACATCGAAACTAATCTGGACTTACTGTCACATAAACTAAAATACTCAACGAGTTTTGAGAAAGATTTTCATTTTGTTTCAGGAGAAAAATTGGATATGTAGGATAAAGATGCAAAAGAAATAAAGCAAAGAAAGGTGGTAACGATATGGTAAGTCCACCTCACAGACCTGATGTGTGTAGTGATGGTTCACATTAGGGTTTGCCACAATAAGTCGAGATAATCAATGACTTTGACACTGACAGTACATCAGCATCAAAATTTAAAACTGATACATGGTTTTAAAAATGTTCAGTGTAACAAATGTTGTTTTTCACATCACTACGAGTGTGAAATGTTGACTGATATGTGTCACATTGAGACGACATGTTAACCAGAGTGTTGCTCAGCACCTCTAAAATCCTGATTGAATCACCGCAACATCGTTTGACAAACTCACCATCCACACGAGTTAAAGACAAAAGCTGTGCTGTGAATTCAGCTATTTTCATAGATTCAAGATTTGAAAAAACTCCCAAAGTCAAAGAACAATTCTACAATCAGGAAAACAAATTGTGCTTGTTAAACATCCACCATGTGCATGTTGTAGTTTCTTTAATATACAAACCGAACTTACTCACTTTGTTCAGAGGTGTCATAGAAACTTACTTCTGCACTCACACTGCTAAAGTAAAATATGAAAACCTTTTCTTCTTTTTAATCATGTTGGAGTTTCCAGCTTAATCCTACAGTTTTGCATTTTAATGTGTAAAACTTTACCTTTACTTACATTCACCGATTCATCAGTGTAGCACCAAATAGATTAATATATACAAAAACAGCCATTTGGTGGAGCCCTAATTCACATTTTAAAGGCTTGCCCTCCTTTATACAAGACAGTGTTTCAAATGTAGTGAAAATATTAATGATAAAACCCATAGAAAGCTTTTAGTTGCCTGCGCCCTGAAAGTAAGAAGTGTTTGGCATCTAGTGGGTAGAGTCTGATTGGTATTTACTTTGAGGAAAAATCTAATTAACTGTTTTACAAACTTAAAAATGTGCTCTATCTAAAATGTATTATTTAGTGTATATGATGCTCACGCTGAGGGGAAGTTCCTGGGAGTTTTGTTGTGGTTGTGAGGAGTCATGGAGCTCCAGCCTTGACATTTTTTCCCACTGATGGTCTCTGAAGTAATGCCCCGATAACTAGACCCATTTCCCTCATAACAGTCATCATCATCATCTGGGGGGATCACTGGCTCGTCTGCAGCAAGAGACAAGACATATAATCATGATAACTTTTTGTACATAGCACCTTTTAAAAATAGGTTACAAAGTGTTTTGCAGACAGACCCAAAAAAGAAAAGAAGGATATTTAGGAAGACCGTTGAACAACAGAAGGACAGTCAGTCCAAAATGGAAAGAAAAAGACCAGAGAAGCAAAAGTGGACGAATAAAGTTCAACATGGTAAAAGATTTTCAAAATGAGTCAATACAACAACGCCAGATAAAATAATAAGAGAACCAAAAATGCCATATGCAAGGAAGGAAAAAGGACAAGTGAAATAAAAGACAATCGAAGGTCAAACCATAAAGACAGAGCTGGAAGTAATAATAATAATAATAATAGTAATAGTAAATAAATAATAATCATGATAAAAAAAAAAAGAATAAAATGAACAATTCAAATAAATACATTTAAAAAAAATGTCCCCTTTGAGGACTAAAATCTGCTTTTTAAAATTTGCTTATTACACTAATTATTGTTTAACTTTCCTTTGCAAACTTCCATCAAATCACTGCTGAGCAAGTTACACAATAATTGCCATGTGTCTTGCTCACTTTTTCCCAATTTTTTTTTTTGCTGTTTTTGAAACAAACATCAGCATCATTGCTATACCTGGTCCTGGTGCATCTCCACATTTTGAAACATTGCAGTACTCCCAGCGAGTGTCTGGGTCAGTGGTGTAGCACCAGGGCATCCTCTCGTTGTCAGGGTTACGGCAGTAGTTATTGTCCAGGCCCCTGGCGAAGAAGGACACAGACAAACCAAATATAAAGCCATGAAAACTTACTGTATTTATTTATGTTTCTGGGTTCCCTCTAAGTTATTTTTTTCCATTTACACCTCTTTGTTTGCTGTTGAGAAGTCATAATAATATTTTCTTGACCCATTTGAATCATTGAGGGAAGACATTTTTCATGGGTGAAGCTCTTACTTGCAGGGATAGTTGTCTGGGGTACGGTTGTGTTTCTGCGGCGTCTGAGCCGACCAGCTCTGGCATGTTTTTCCACTTTCAGTTACAGCAACGGTGCCTCGATACGCTGCACCTTCACCGGAGGCACAAGTCAGCTCTGGGGTGATAGTGGGTGGCTCTGATGCTGAGGGCAGAAGATGAGAACAATTTGTCACAGAGCTCACAACGAGGACAAGCATACACTCTATAGAGTCGCCCTCAAATTTATTCATACCCTCCCATTAAAGAAGGAAAAAAACAGCTGTTACTGAAATAAGCTAACATTGACAGAAGTAATAATAAATTAAAAAAATTATGAAAATCATGACATTGCTTTTGAATTGTGGTTCAACAGAAACATTAAAAACAAACAAACAAAAAAAACAAGCAAACAAACATGATGTGACCCATAAACTAATATTTAGTTGAACAACCCTTTGAGCCAATCACTGTAATCAAGTGTTTTCTGTAACTCTCAATCAGACTTCTGCACCTGCTGACAGATATTTTGATGTTGGCCCACTGCTCATCAGCAAAGTGCTCTAATTTGTCCGAGACAGTTTTGTTTGTTTGTTTTTTTATTATTCTTTTCAACCACAATTCAAAAGCAATGTCTTATTTCATTAAATTATAATTTAGCAAATTTTTATTTATTATTACTTTTTTCAGTTTCTAGTTATTTGAGTGACTATTGTGAATTTTGCTTTTTCTTTAATGGACGGGTATGAATGCATTTGAGGACGACTGGATGTAAGGTACATTAAATGCTTTTGCATACAGAAATTCTTCTTTTTCTGTTATTTTCCTGTCTACATATACTTTTAAGGGGGGGGATGCTTAATGTGGGTGATGATGGCTTGTGTTGAAATGCTTGTCCAACATTTTAGAATTTCTTTATTTAATAAGGATGTCTGAGGGTGTGTGTTGTGTTTCAGCAGGCTGCAGATAGATTCATCCAATAAGGACCTTTGTGATACATTTTTGCATTTTAAAAACATTGTCTTTTGTCACAGGTTGTGATGCTGGGTCAGCTTGCCAGTTCATTTATCCTGTAAAGAAGAGAGTTTGAGCAGCGAAGTTCTCAAAGTCTGCAACTAGCTGAAAATGTATTAAAAAATAGTAGTGGGCAGCTTTAAAGATTTACAGTTAAAAAGAGAAAAAAAAAATGAAGCATATTAAAAAAGGACTCACTGCAGCGGGGTATGGTACAGAAGTCCCACCGTTTGGACGGGCTGGTGGTGAAGCACCACGGGCGGGGATCTCCGTCTGGGTTTCTGCAGTAGTTCTGCTCAAGATACTTCTCTGGAAGACTGTAGGGAACAAAATTAGCATAATTTTAGCTATTTAAAGCTTCTAGGGAAAAAAAACATGTTTAAATTCCAGAATAGGTTTCTAAAATCCTAATTGCTCATGTGGTCTTACGCGCTGGGATTGTAGCCGTGGTTGTGAGGCTTCTGAGAGTCCCAGCGTTGGCAGGTGAAGCCGTTTTCAGTGGTGGAGATTTTTCCTCTGTAGTCCTCACCGCTGCAGTGCATACAGTCCTCTGTAAAGGAACAAGCAAAGACACATCACACTACCATACAGAGCTGTATTGTCAATGTGTCCTACAGTTTCTATAGTGTTTACTGATGCACACGTTTTACATACAGTATGTGTGCTGTATAATATATAGAGAGAAGGACTACAATGTGCTCATTCCTGCACCTTGAAAAACTATACCACAACACTGCTGACCTATGACCACACATGTATTTCCCTATGCATCAATCATTCACTTCATTTTTTTACATAATAGAAAATAGTCTACTTTTTTATTGAATGTGTTATTCAGTTGTTTACTGCAATTTAAAGGTCCACAGTAAAAATGTTCAACACAAAACAAAGAGAACAAGAACACGAGCAAAAAAAAAACCCTGAAGAAATCTCTGGAGGGCATTCAAGGAGAGATCCATCCTCATCAATCTGAGATAGGTTTTTCCATACATTGTGTAAACGCCTGAGATACTGTTGTGCTTACATTTACCAGTTCTGACAATTAAGATAATGTGGACACTCAAATAAGTTGGTGGAAAATAAAATTGCAGTTAAACTGAAAAATCATTTCAGGAACACACATTGTACATGTGCCTTGGAATTAGCACAAACACACACACACACACACATAAACCAGTGATACCAGTGCAGCTGGCCACATTGCAGTGCTCCCAGCGGGTGTTGGAGTCAGTGGTGTAACACCAAGGTCCCCCGCTGTCCCCATCAGGGTTCCTGCAGAAGTTGGACTCCAGGTCTCCTTGGGGATGACTCTGTGGTGTGATGCTGCAATAGACACATTTAGAAATTTTACAGACAGGTCTAAAAGGATATGAACTGATGTGCGAAATGAAATGACAGCATGTGCATACATACTTGGGCCTGTGTGGATATTTTGCTTCCCATCTCTGACACACCTTTCCTGATTTTGTTCTGCTCTTTGTTCCTCTGTAATCTGTTCCTATTCCATTTACACACTCCAGAAGATATTCTAGACAAAAAAAAACAAACATCGTATGTTTGTGTATTCAGTAAAAGCTGACTGCTTTTTAGAGTTGAACAACTGTTGACACATTCATTGTGTAGCAGGGTTTTGAACCACAGAGTAGCTGCCGTCATGATATGTTGCCTATGATAATGATGGTACCGCAATACAGCAACATTTAATACATTGAATGACAATCTATGATACATCATGATATCTGTGTAATTGAGTGGGAAAAAATACACCTCAAGAGGCAAAATGTAGGAATTATGTATTCATTCTTTAGTGTAAGTGTGTGTCAATTATCATTATTATTCAATGTAAATACTGTGTCACTTTAGATATTTATTCCTCTGACTTGTTTTCCCTGCTGGCCGCCATATTCAGTGACTGTTTTTTCTCCACAGGTGAGTTATCTTCTGCACACTTTCCCCTGATTTATTAAATAAACATTGCTATGAGGAGTAGTACTAGCAGTAGTAGTAGTTCTTCTGGTGAGTCAAGTTCGTCCTATGACTATGTTTTGAGTGCATTCATGTTTAACAGAAATACGGAGGTTTGACGGCAGTGTATCAATGCAATACCAGGTACGAACAAAAGATCTGTGACTGTTCATGGTGCATGAAGCGCATCGCAGTCCAGTGTGTGTAGTAATAGTAGTCTTTGGGGACAAAGAGAGGGCACCATAATAAAATAAAAGAAGATTCAATCAACTTCTGTTACTGTAAAGAAAAAAGGACTTACCACTTTTTTCATATAAAGCTGTGCTGGTTCTACGCAGAATGATCTCTGTTTTAGAGTTTGCTCCTGCTGTCCAACAATCTTGATCCTTTTCAATGTATATGAAAGACCTGTGAAAATATGACTGGTGTCAGACTTTGCATCCTTTGATTGCAAGAGATGGAGTGTAAAGTGTGAACTTACTTGCATGTGAAGGATGTTTCAGAGTTACATTTGGTGGCACAGTCAGCTACAGTGTTAGCTGAATACTGTCTTTTACGCAGTGAAATGATCGATGCCCCTTCAGTTTTGGAGTAGCCGTCCACCTCGCTACCACTAACTGGAATCAGAGTAAAAATTCCCAAATTAAATGTCAAAGATACAACACAGTATTTGTAGTTGATGTATGAATGAATGTCCTAAACATCCACTCACAAGTGAATCATAGACATCAAGTGACTTCGACGTCCAGCTTGATCAGTGTCACTATACTAATCAATAATCTGAGGTGCATCAGTCTGTGGGTGGTTGACTTTGAATTGTGCTGTGATAATTCAGCACAGACATAATGAAAGGTAAGTTAGGTGTGCAAATAACAATCATTCACACTGCTGATTAATCTGCTGATTAACTGAATAGCTGTTGTCTATAACAAATCCAAAGATAGGAAAAAATGGGGATCAGTGTTTCCCAAAGTTGTTTTGTTCACAACCCAAACATATTCAGTTTACTGAAACCAGATAGTATTCAAATTTAAGCTGGAATCAGAAGACACTGACTTTTCCCACAAGCTGAAAGCCAACCAATTAATAACTGACTATTGTTAAAGCCCTGAAATGTATGTAGAGATAAAACGGGAAGTTGTGGAAGTGTTGTTGGATTGATTTGAGTATAAAACGACAGAGTGGAACACAAAACAAAATCTTTGTCCAGGGTAATTCAGAGGAGAATTCACGCAAAGTACTTATAGAACAGTTATTGGGTTATATGCTTGCCAAGAGTTAGAGATAGCATAACAACTACAAACATTAGGCAACAGCTGAATAACCAGCTCTGTTGGTTTAATCCAAATAAAACCTGTAGTGCAACAGGAGAGCCGTTTCTTCTGTTTTAAGTCTTTATGTTGAGCTAACCACCTCCTTGCTGTGGCTGAGAATACAGCGGTTTCCTCGTCTAGCTCTATATCGTCATAGCATTCCATTGCAAACATAGCTAAACACTAAAGATGTGACATCAAGCCACATAAGCCTGAATGAATATGTGCAGGGGTCTTCAGCGGACCTCCACGAAGTCTGGCACATGTCAGGCCACAACATTCAGCTTCATAGGTAGGTAGGTAAAAGTGTGTATCATCCGCATAACAGCTATTAACACATTGCATTTTCTTACTGTAGCACAAAATGAAGGCACAAAGACAAAGAGCAGGATCATAGGGCTGAGAAAGCTGACTGATCCCTGCAGTACACCATGGATGATGTAGCAACTGTATTTTGACCAGGCCATTAAATTTCAGATGACAGACTTAAACTACAGGAGGAGGTCCTATGAAACAGAGTAGAAGATGGTGTTAATAGGACTGAGGAACTGTCTGCAGATGGTGCTTTTATATGACAGAGAGACCGAGGATTGTTTTTAAAAGGATCATATATTCTGAGTCAGTGAGTGGAATTTGTCCAAACAGTCAAGGCTGCAGGGCTAAGATGGCGGTTTACAGGAATTTGTGTCGACAAACTATCTGATTTACGTCATCACAATGACAAAGACAAATGTTTACCAGATACATTGTAATTTAGCCTCAGAACTTTGTCAATATTTACTATAAAGAAATGTCTCTGCAAAACATTTAAGAGACCATATCTAAAACAAAAACACATTCATTGCACAAACTTACATTAATCTCAGTCTGAATTGATCAAATTTCTTGTTTCAACCCATACCTGCTCCACAAGATCAGCTGTACATATACTGCCTGTTTTGACACGAGACTGAAATGTGACTTTTAAGATGCCACTCAACCAATCATGTGAATCTCATCATCTGCTTTTGTCTTTCTTTAGCTTGGCTATGCTCAGTCTATGTCTTAATAGCAAAGTGAACAAATTCTGTTTGCGACGCTTTCAGACTTGTCTCTTGATATTGTTGTTGTTGTTATTATTGTCTCTCAACATCCTGGATTGTCTGTATCATAAATTACATTAAAAGAACTTTAGTCTCGAGGAGGTGCTCTCACAATGAATCTAATCACTGTCTCTTATTTTTCCATATTTTGTGGCAATTATATAATTACAGAACTGTTTCTAATGTTCCCTGTTGATGTTGTATCTTACCAGTGCAGATCAAGGCTCCCAGGAGAAACGCTGCTTTGTACAAGTCCATGGTAAGGCCCTGACACTAGCAGCTCATAGTCGACTAACTTACAGAGGATCCTCCTGGTAAATTACTGAGATCCTTTGAGCACGTCAGGAGGACAAATAGGACAGCTCAATTATTAGTCAATCATTGGCCCAACAAGGACAGCAAAGGAGCAACAGGTCAAAAACCTTGTTTAGGGAAGATTTTGGAACAAGCAAAAGAGCAGCACAGCATTTCCTTTTCTATGATGCATTGATTATTATTCATTATTTCAGGTGCGGTCCCGTACTCGACCGTGTGGTATTTAATAATTACCATATAATCATGAACCATTATCGCTTGGAGAGCAGGGAGAGTGCAGAGATGCACCGACTGGTTTCTTGAGACCGTTAACCTTCTGCTGTTTTACACCTTCCACTATGAATTATGGAGACGCTCCCTGAGTTTCATGACCTTTTTTGTTCTCTTATTAAATTTTTTTTTTTATCAATATGTCAATTCTGGATCACTGTTTACATCTTGTGTTGAGTTAAACATTTTGTTGCTAAAGGGTTAAATAATAAGAGGCTATAATTAGCATTATGCAATGATAATGCCCGTGTATATGTGTGAACAGTTCAACGTTGCATACATGATTTTCATCCTGCTGCAGAATACTATGCGATCTAGATAAAACCAGATCAATATCTATAGTTAATCTTCAGCTAGAAGGGATCAATGCCCTCCACTGCAAACATATGATTACAAAACAGCTTACTTTAGACTGTTCAGTGCATCCCAGGAACAAGTAACTCGTGTTCTATTTTCAGTGTACTACTGCCTTTACAAAAACACTTACATTTAAAGGCCCTTTTCAGTCAAATCTTCTAGTAAGTTTATGATGACAGTTTTCCGGGAAGATCATTAGGATTTCGGCTTAGTATTAAACAATCTTGCTCTTGCTGTGTAATGAACAATAAAAAGGTAAGAGCAGTTAACATTTGTTATTACAGCCCACATATTTTTTTCTTACGTACTATCAAAGAGTGTCAGTCAGGCAGGCTGCATCCACACTCCAGCGATTTATTACTTTCCATATATACTGCAAAGTGAGTTGAAAGGGAACTTTTGAAATGGTGCAAAAAAAAGAAAAAATGAAAATGCGAATTAGGGTTGTTTCCATTATTTGCTTTGGAGTGAATAAACTAGGCCGCATGCTGTCAGAAAGTGTCATCACAGGCTACGTGGGTAGAACAAACAAAACCAAGTGTTTACCAACTGCTAAAAACATCGAAGAAGACAAAACCAATGGAACATCCATCTACAAATGAAAAACGGAGATAATCATTTGTAGTTGGTAAGTTGGTATTCCTTCATGTCAGCTGGTTTTAGCCAAGTTTTATGCTGTATGGAGGCAAAAACAACAAAAGAGGTGGAAACAGTTGATCAGTCATGTCATAACTTTTTCAGAAAAAGTGTTTCCATCTTCCATTAAACACATTAATGCTTGTTTTCAAGAGTTTAAGAACACCTCAAGTGAGTGTAAAAAAATGAGCTACTTCTATACATTTTGTCTAAGGTGCATAAACATATGCTATGCAAACACAGTGACTATATTCTACTTTCTTGTATGGTTTGTAGCAATATAATATTATTAATGGGTGTTTCAAAAATGTGCTCTTCTGCACATGTGCAAGCAGGACTGTCCAGCGCTGCAGCAGCTCATAACATGCGTACACTGTAAAATACAACTATAACTAAAAAAATAAGAGTGACACGACAATCAAGTAAAAACAATGGTTCTACCACCAGATGCTATCCTGATTAAATACTTGAATACTTAAATTTGCTAGTTAATGAAACTGCTTGGTTTAAAAGCCTAATTAAAATGTTTTGTTGTCTTGCCAACTTGCATTCAAACATTCTTCTCTGTCTGTGGAAAGTAACGAAGTACATTTACTCTACAGTTCCATTTCATTATATTTCATAGTTCGGATTTAATACACTCAATGCATCAAACTTGTTCCACTGCATCCCACAGATGTGCAATCAGGCCACATCCCACACCTTACTCCTTTGTTGTGTTCCTCGAGGCGTTCCTGGACAGTTTTTTGGGTGTGGCGGGTGTATTGTCCTGTTGGGGCAGGCTGCTGGTGTTAGGGGCTGTCGCTGCCATGTGGGTGGGCTTGGTCTGCAACCATCTTCAGGTGGGTGGGACATTAACATCCTGAAAAATACCAGAACCCAAGGTTTCCCAGCAGAACACTGCATTGTAGCAATATAATCAGTATTATTCACTTCCCCTGTCAGAGGTTTTAATGGGACTGATCACTGTGTGATGTCTCTATCCTATAAGACTTATTGATCTATCCAGTTTAAAATTGTCTCTAAATTAACAAACTACAGCATTCAAACAATCACTTTTTAGTTGCTGTTAAAAACATTTTGAAAGGAGTATAATCACATCTTTTCCTTTAGATTCTTTTAATATATTTTGTTGTATTTTTTCATCCAGGATTTACTTGTAATGGTGTATTTTTGATTATTATTGGTTATATATGTAAAGGATCTGAATATTTTCTGTTAGAGTTTGTTTCACTGCATGTATGCTGTCTTTTAGAATTAAATATTAATTGTTAAATAATTGAATGGCGGCGCACATGGACGCAGCGGCCCCTTCAGGAGGCAGCGACAGCGAACGTTTAGTGTCTTATCCCAGACACTAGCTGGTTGAATAATCCTGAAGAAACACTCTCTCATCTTGCCTTTACTGCTGTGTATGTACAGCAAAATGACAATAAACCTGATTTGGTTTGATTTGATTTGATTAAACGTTTTTTCTTGCTTCCATAATCAAATGACACAAACGAGTTCCTTGACCTAACTCTGAACAGATAAGAGTCCATGTAACGCTTGACAATGGCCTGGAGAGGGTGCTATTGATCACCAACCTTGAGGAGCTTTGCCCCTAAAACAAATTCCCTCACCTCTCCAACTTCACCTGAGCCAAGAAAGGGGAAGAGGTGCATCATACTGACAAAAGACACCTCATTGTTGCGGCTTGTGAAAAGAAACTGAGGACAAATGGGTGAACTATTGAAGTCGATAAGGTAGTATCAAGGATGTGGAGTAAAATAGGGCTATTGATGATGATATCCACAATTATAATGAACTGTTCAGAGCTGATGGATCATTCATTTTCAGTAGGCCATAGTAATGAATGGCTATCATACAACATGATACAATTTGAGTGATTCCGATGAGGCAGACGGTTCAAGGGATTCAGGAGTACCTCTACAATTATCAATGTTACCATTGTGAAAGCAAAATCCCGTTTTATACTTACATCTGTTCTGCCTTCTTCAAAGGTCAGGTACTAACAATCTATTGAAAATGAAAATCATGATTTGATTTAAAACACACACACGCGCACAAAGAAAAAGAAAACTGTTTTTGTACATGTGATAGAGCTTGACATTGGCCTAAAATATTCAAAGGATTTACATAGTTGGCCTTGGTGGGAAATAAAATGATACAACCCACTCAAAAGCTCCTAGGATTTATAAGGCACTAGCTGGTACTTTGAGATACTTTAACTGTAAACCGCAAAATGAGCTTTTCTTCTTGTCATTATAGATAGTCGTTGTAGCTGCTATATAAGTTGTAAATTTAAACATAAGACACATATTGTCAGCTTCATCTTTCAAATGATCAAATAGTCTGTTCAAACCTTTACTTGAGGAAGGTATGAATTCATCTCTGTGCATCTTTACACAGGATCTCTGCAGGTTTTGAGTGTTAAAAAGCATTAAACAAGGTATGAAGAGTAAACCTGCGGTTGTAAAAATGCAACAATCAGCCACAACATGATAACTACTAAAAGGTTTATAACATTAATCACATGAAGTACAATGCAGTGCTTTGCTGGGAACCTTGATGTACCACCCACCTAAACATTACTACAAAGCAAGCACACCTTGCTGTACCCAGTGGCCTCCTCCAGAGGGACAACATGACCCGCCACGCCACCAAACCTGCTCAAGAACACTTCAAGGAACCCAATGCATTGAGCTGGTCTCAAAAGTCCACAGGATCCAAATCCAATCGAGCATTAACGTGATGCTCTGGAACAAGCCTGACACACGGACGCCCCACAGGACACCTCCAGAGGCCAAGCATCAACAGGTCAGAGCTGTTTTGTCAGCACAAGGGGGACCTACGCAATATTAGGCAGATGGTTCAAGTGTTACAAAAATAAAGAGGAGACCAGACTAGGAATTCTTCAGTCACTGAAACACAACATGTCTGACTACTGCATATGACGTGGTTCATATTACAGTGATATGACTACGTAGCAAAGCTGATGCTACAGAATTATTCAATTCAGATCTACAGTATGTGTGTAAATCCACGTGCTCCATCTGTGCCCTCACCTTGGACACCGTATCCAAGATGGTCTGTTAAATTAGTTCACAATGGCCTTTAAACTCACATTAGACCACGTTACCGAATGTAAAACCCTTTGAATGGACTTTTATGGACTCTCTCATTTCCTTTTTCTAAACAAAAGCAGAGAGACATTCTGAGAAGTAAAAAAGCACTTATTCTGGGAAGCTCCTACTATTTTCAGCTGCAATAACACATCATATCGTTTCGCTGAGAGACTAAGCGTATCGGTTTTGTTATATGTTCATGCAAGTTGAAGGTCTGTCTCCTCCATAGAGCGGGACCGCAACAATACTTCACGGAGGAGATGGTGAGCAAGAGGTGTGGGCTCCAAGGTTTGCTGCTCAATCAATATCAGACTATCAAAGCTCAATTTAGAAATGTCCCTCTCACCTTAAAAAGGGAAGAATGGCTTCTTTCTACAGTTGCATCGCTCAGGGTTTCATTTCACTTTTGGTTGCGTGACCTAACAAAAAAAAATTTAATTTATGTTGTACACACTGTATCACAGCTGCATATGTTTTTTAATGTGTTTACATATTTCTGGTGTATTCCTCTGATCTTATACCTCCTCTGTTGGTTTGAGTAATTATGCTGCAATTTTGGGCAGTATTCCTTTGAAAAACATCGATTT